ATGGTGGAAAATGGTCAGACTCTCAAATTATTTTTAAAGTGAAGCTCACAGCAGGTGGCTAGGTGGCACAATCAGTTAAGCAGCCAACTCTTGACTTCATCTCAGGCCATGATCTCACGGTTTGTGGGATCGAGCCCCACATCAGGCTCTGTGCTGACAGCCCGGAGCCTGCTTGGGATTCTCTCTCTCTCTCCCTCTCTCTCTGCCCATCCCTGGTTCATGTATGTACTCTTGCTCACTCTCTCTCTAAAAAATAAATAAATAAACTTTAAAATAAATAAATAAATTTGAAAAAAATAAAATGAAGCTCACAGAATTTCTGATAGGTTACATATAAGATGTGAAAGAAAGAGTCAAGGGTGAGTTCAAGTTTTGAGATTTGAACAACTAAAAGGAGAAAGCTGCCATGCACTGAAATAAGATGGCTTAGAGTGAAGCAGGTTTGAAAGAGAGATGGGAAGTGGGAAGGGGACACACAGGAGTGACAATCAGAAGTTCCATTTGGGACAAGTTACATTTGAAATGTCCAGCAGAAAACCAAGTGGAAATATCTCATAGAACGGAGGTAGATTTTGGAAGTCCTGAATTATCCAGTCCTCAGCCTCCTCACAAAGTAGTAATATTTAATTATAATGTATCTGTTAAACTCAATGCTTTCTTTCTCCCTCAAGAGTGAGGTCCTGACTCTGATCTATTGTCACATTATAGCATGCTTCTTCCATACTTCTCTTCATTCTGCACCCCATCACCTGTTTTCCTAGATGGAAACATTAATTTATTTGAACCAAATCACTCTTTTTAAAAAGATGTTACCACAGCTTACTGCTATTTTAAGAAAGCTATGACTAAATCATTTAAAACAATTATGTCAAAAGAGCCCACAAATAGTGATTGCCAAGGTGTATTTTCCCAGACTGTGTAGGAGATCTAGTCCAGTGAAGTGACAGCTCCCAAAATGAACATGGACCATTATGACTAGGATATATCTGACTTGAGTTAGATCAAGTATATTAAGTTTCCTAGGAGGCAATATTTGGAATCTGACTGAATGTGGGCAAAAAACTAGTAATAATAGAAACAGGACAGATCAATAATAATCACCCCAACCATTAATCCTTAGTTTATCCAATTAGTTTTAAGCTTTTTTTCCACAGAAAAATGCACAGTAAGATGAAACCAAATGGATTTTTAGCTTGGGTGTGCACAAAGCACTATGGGCATCTCACAGCCATGCCAAACAGGCAGAGAGGACAAGGAAAAATCCTGGCTCTGGATATACACAGACAGATCTTTAGCAGAAGGAATAGGCCCAGCTGCAAAGGCAAATACCAGATTGGCAGCCAGATGGGTGAGGCACAATGGCCAGAGGACACAACAAGACCAAGCATGACTGAAGCAACTGGTCCCATCAGATGAGTGGAGCACAATGGAGAAGAATTCAAGCATCCTGTCCACCCTCCACAGTCAGGCAGACAGACAGGTGGAGAGTTATTTGTAGACAAATCATCCATGGACAGCAACAGACTGGTATGTAGATCCAGGTTGCTGTCCCCAGAATGGTTGGCAAGTGCCACACAGGTTGTCAGGGCCCAGTCTGAGGCTGAGTTCAGGCCCAATGTCCAGTCCGAAAAAGGGACAGTGCTTTTCAGCAGGAGAACTGGATAGAAATTGAGTATAAGCCAGATCCATGACTTGGGCCAATGGACAGGAAGAGGACAGACGTCATTTGGGAAAACATGTTACTAGGCTATCAAACCCCAAGTTCAAGCAGATGACTTGTCACCAGTCACAAGTCCACCAATGGCACTGAGGTTGTTGATTTACTTCCTGAATTGGTTTGGACTCAGAAATGGTGGGTGGCGGTCAAGAAGGGAGGGCAACTGTAAGTGAAATGCATCTGTGGGCCCAAAAGGGAGTAGCTGGGCTTCTGTAACATAAAGTCACAGAAATGAGGCAGGAGACCAATAGGCTTGAGTTATTCTGCCTGATCATGCACCATGACTACCCTCTGACAAAGGTGCTAATGGGAAAGAAATGGCTACAATTGAATTACCCACTTGGAAATCTGAGAGGGCAACATTAAGAAATAATCATTCATTCCAACATTTAGTGAGGACCTACTATATTTATAGTTCTTGCTATGGAGCATGCAAGCAGCCACAGACATGGTGTCTGTCCTCAAGTATCCCATAGTAAAACAAGCATGATAAAAGACCCACAGAAACGACTATATGATAAGTCCTAGCCAAGTGCTGTGGAGCACAGATGAAAAATGAAGACCAGCAATAAAAGAACAAAAAAGTCTCATAAGCTTCTTGAGAAGACAGTCTAGCCATTTCTGCCTGGAATGCATAATTCTAGCCATTGCTCTATCAGAGATTTCAATCATCACTGGGTGTTGCCAATTGCATCCAACCCCAGGTCTGAAGATAGCCATTTGAGCCTTATCCACATCCCCTTCGACTGTCTATGTCTTGGGCATCGTGTCCCTATAACAGAGGGAGTGTGGGATTCCATAAAATAGTACTGAAAATTCCTAGCTCTGGCACCTACTAAATAAGGAGCCTGAACTTCAGTTATGCCCCCCATGAAGTGAGAATAAAGACAACACATACTTCAATGTGCTTCTTCAAAGATTAAGTGAAATAATGTTATGTAAAAGGGTTTTTGTAAACTGCAAAGAACCGGAAAAATTTTATCATTTTAATGGGGTCCCAACTTGAGCCTAACTGGTTTCAGCCATGCCTGCTGTGTTTGAAGAACTGGCATCTGGGGCATCTGGGAGTCACTCCACATGAGGATGAGGAAGTGGTTTTGCTCACATGCCAGAAAAAGAGTCAAAGGCAGGTAGGAAGCTGCAGCATCTATGCTGGCCAGGTGCTGCAACTGGGAGTCAGGACTCTGCAGAAAGAGGGGCTCCACGCAGAAGCTGGGGGAGCTGGTTTCACAAGAGGACATTACTGCTTTAGAGCCTAATGAAGAACTAAGATGCAAACTGGGGCAGGAGTGTGGGTGGGGGTATAAGAGGGGAGGAATGGAGGACAGGGTGCTCTTCCTAGCACAGGGAAAACTCTAGAGCATTCGATGCTGCTTAGTCACCTGAAGAGTTTCCACAGGAGGGGAAAGTGTTCTTGGTGCAGACATGAGCACATGAGACACCCACTATACCTCCCCGCCAAGCTTCCAGATGATCTAGAGACAATGCCAGTATGGGTATGAGAAGAGCACTATGAGCAGCTGTGAAATGCTTCTCGGGGGCCAAGTCTCAGGGACAAGGGGCAGCAAAATATAGACCATAACCCCTGATATGACCCGAGCAGGGATCCTCGCAGGTTAGTAAGGCCTGGAGAAACTCAAGTCACATTATTATTAACTCAGGCTGTGAGTTCAATGCCATGTGAGTTCAGTTATCATTAGATGCTGTTTCCATCACTTCTACTGTTTCATACTTTTATCCTCAGGAAGCCTGGGAATGGAGGTGTGTTACCCAGCAAGGCTAGTAGACCCTTCTCTTGAGGAAGACCACACAAAAGTGAGCCAAGGCATCGGGAAGCACCTAACTGATGCTCTCAACAAATGCAGCATCCAGTAAACCATCTCTCCTGACTCTCATCTCAGTGTTTCCAAGTCTGAAAGAGGAGGAAGGGGCAGGGGGAAGGATATGGAAGGTACATGGGAGCTGCATGGTGAGGTGGCAAAGAAGAGGAGATGGGGAACAACTGCACACCAGTAAGAAAACACAAATTTTCTCTTTTAAGTGGAGATGGGGTGGAAGCACAGTGCAGGGAGCTGGGAGCAAAGGTGAATCATAGAGAACAAAATGTATTCCCCCCTGCCACCAAAGATATGACAGAAGGTCTGGCCAAGGGTGCGGACGCTCTGCAGCCCACCGCCATTAAGTCTAGAATTCTGGCCCAAGCATCTTGCAAGGCGCCTCGGACGTGCCCAGCATTGGACACAGCACACAGAAGCCTGCATTCACTCAGCAAGGAAAGAGTAAACAATTCATCCAAGGTCTGCCAAGAGAGCTCTCTGGCACTGTAATGTTCTCTGAGGTTGTAGGTTGGCTCTTGCCAGAGAGGGAGGAGACCAGCAAACAACAGGGGTCTCCTTAGCAATTTGGGATCTCTATCCAAATGTCAGCTCACAGGCTGCCCTGACCAGTCCAGCAGTGCCCAGACCTCTGCAGTGTCCCCCAGCTCAGCTTCATCCAGAAAATCGCTGTTTCCAACACAGTTAATACCCGTTTCCCTAGCCCATACTGGGTGCCAATCCTTGGAGGAGCTCAGTCCTAGGACAGGTTGGGGTGGGAGGTGGCAAACCCATGGATCCCAAAATGGATAGTGAGTGGCTAATTGGTGAGTGGACAAGTGTGGGTTTGGGGAGAGAGTTTCACAGAGGTGGAGCTATTTCAGCAGAGTTTTAAATAGAAAATAGGAGCTCACCGGGCAGGGAAGGAAGGGAAGAGGTATAACTAACTTTGTCAGAACTTACTGGGTGCCAAGAAGTGCGTCAAGAGCACAAAGGCAGAGAGAAAAGCAGGTACAAAGTTGCAGAAATGTGAAAGCGCATGGTACATTAACAGAAGGTGAATTCTGTGCAGTTAACAGTTAGTGTGCATTGTGGGAGGTGTCAAAAGACAAGGCTAGAATGGCACATTGGAACAGCAAAGGCCTTAAACTTTTAAAAATATATATATACATATTTTTTGTTGTTATTTTACTGGTATGGGTTTGTCTTGGGTTCATTCTATAAAACACTTGTCAGGGCACCTGGGTAGCTCAGTCGGTTAAGCAGCCAAATCTTGGTTTCAGCTCAGGTTATGATCTTGCAGTTTCGTGAGTTCAAGCCTTACATCAGGCTCTCTGCTAGCAGTGCAAAGCCTGCTTGGGATGCTCTCTTTCTTTCTCTCTCTCTGCCTCTCCCCCACTTGTGCTATGTCTGTGTCTCTCAAGATAAATAAACTAAAAGAAACAAAAAACAAAAAGATTCTCTTGAAGCTGTTCCAAAAAATAGAAATGGAAGGAAAACTTCCAAACTCCTTCTATGAACCCAGCATTACCTTGACAAGGTAATACCAGACAAAGACCCCACTAAAAAGGAGAACTACAGACCAATTTCCCTGATGAACATGGATGCAAAAATCCTTAACAAGATACTAGCCAACCGGATCCAACAATACATTAAAAGAATTATTCACCATGACCAAGTGGGATTTATACCTGGTTCAATATCCACAAAACAATCAATGTGATATACCACATCAATAAAAAGAAAGTACAAGAACCACATGATCCTCTCAATAGATGCAGAGAAAGCATTTGACAAAATACAGCATCCTTTCCTGATAAAAACCCTCAATAAAGTAGGGATAGGATTATACCTCAAGATCATAAAAGCCACATATGAATGACCTACCACTAATATCATCCTCAATGGGGAAAAACTGACAGCTTTTCCCCTAAGGTCAGGAACAAGACAGGGATGTCCACTCTCGCCACTGTTATTCAACATAGTATTAGAAGTCTCAGCCTCTGCAATCAGACAACACAAAGATATAAAAGGCATCCAAATCGGCCAGGAGGAAGTCAAACTTTCACTCTTCACAGATGACATGATACTCTATATGGAAAACCTAAAAGATTCCACCAAAAAAATGCTAGAACTGATTCATCAATTCAGCAAGGTCGCTGGGTATAAAATCAGTGCACAGAGATCGGTTGCATTCCTATACACCAATAATGAAGCAAAAGAAAGAGAAATCAAGGAATCGATCCCATTTACAATTGCACCAAAAACCACAAAATACCTAGGAAGCAAAGACGCAAAAAATCTATACACTGAAAACTATAGAAAGCTTATGAAAGAAATTGAAGAAGACACACAAAAAAATGGAAAAATATTCCATGCTCCTGGATAAGAAGAACAAATGTTGTTAAAATGTCAATACTACCCAAAGCAATCTACATATTCAGTGCAATCACTATCAAAATAACACCAGCATTCTTCACAGAGCTAGAACAGACAACCCTAAAATTTGTATGGAACCAGAAAAGACCCCGAATATCCAAAGCAATCTTGAAAAAGAAAACCAAAGCAGGAGGCATCACAATCCCAGACTTCAAAGCTGTATTACAGAATTATAATCAAAACAGTATGGTACCATCACAAAAACAGATAACTCAGATCAATGGAACAGAATAGAGAACCCAGAAATGGACCCACAAACGTATGGCCAACTAATCTTTGACAAAGCAGGAAAGAATATCCAATGGAATAAAGACAGTCTCTTCAGCAAGTAGTGCTGGGAAAGCAGCGACATGCAGAAGAATGAACCTGGACCACTTTCTTACACCATACACAAGCATAAACTCAAAATGGATGAAAGACCTAAATGTAGGACAGGAAGCCATCAAAATCCTAGAGGAGAAAGCAAGCAAAAACCTCTTTGACCTTGGCCACAGCAACTTCTTACTCAGCACGTCTCCGGAGGCAAGGGAAACAAAAGCAAAAATGAATTATTTGGACCTCATCAAAATAAAAAGCTTCTGCACAGAGAAGGAAACAATCAACAAAACTAAAAGGCAACCAATGGAATGGGAGAAGATATTTGCAAATGACATATCAGATAAAGGGTTAGCATCCAAAATCTACAAAGAACTTATCAAACTCAACACCCAAAAAACAAATAATCCAGTGAAGAAATGGGCAAAAGACATGAATAGACACTTCTCCAAAGAAGACATCCAGACGACCAACCAACACATCAAAAAATGCTCAACATCAGTCATCATCAGGGAAACACAAATCAAAACCACAGTGAGATACCACTTTACACCTGTCAGAATGGCTAACATTAACAACTCAGGCAACAACAGATGTTGGCGAGGATGTGGAGAAAGAGGATCTCTTTTGTACTGCTGGTGGGAATGCAAACTGGTGCAGCCACTGTGGAAGACAGTATGGAGCTTCCTCTAAAAACTAAAAATAGAACTACCCTACAACCCAGAAATTGCACTACTAGGTATTTATACAAGGGATACAGGTATGCTGTTTCAAAGGGCACATGCATCCCAATGTTTATAGCAGCACTATCGACAATAGCCAAAATATGGAAAGAGCCCAAATGTCCATCGACAGATGAATGGGTAAAGAAGATGTGGTGTATACATACAACGGAGTACTACTCGACAATCAAAAAGAATGAAATCTTGGGGTGCCTGGGTGGCGCAGTCAGTTAAGCATCCAACTTCAGCCAGGTCACGATCTCGCGGTCCGTGAGTTTGAGCCCCGCTTCAGGCTCTGGGCTGATGGCTCAGAGCCTGGAGCCTGCTTCTGATTCTGTGTCTCCCTCTCTCTCTGCCCCTCCCCCATTCATGCTCTGTCTCTCTCTGTCCCAAAAATAAATAAAAAATGTTGAAAAAAAAATTAAAAAAAAAAAAAAGAATGAAATCTTGCTATTTGCAACTACATGGACGGAACTGGAGGGTATTATGCTAAGCAAAATTAGTCAATCACAGAAAGACAAATATCATATGACTTCACTCATATGAGGAACTTAAGATGCCAAAACAGATGAACATAACATAAAACATAACATAAAAGATGGGGACGAAACATAAAAGACTCTTAAATATAGAGAACAAACAGAGTGTTGCTGGAGAGGTTGTGGAAGGGGGAATGTGCTAAATGAGTAAGAGGCATTAAGGAATCTACTCCTGAAATCATTGTTGCACCATATGCTAACTAACTTGGGTGTAAATTTAAAAACAAATAAATAAAAAGTGTTAAAAATTAAAAAAGAAAACACTTGTCACTGTACATATAGGTCAGAATTCAGATGATAATGAGTCTTGTCTTTTTCATTTCATAGCTGAACTTACACAAAAGACTGGTTTGTAAAAAAAAAATAAATTTTAAAAATGAATAAGGATTCAAAAAATTATCTATTTTTACTATACATATTTTATATGTATATATGTGTTATCGTATATATCTATATATACACACATGCATATTTTATATGTGTATTATACAAATACATATACATACATAGGCATATACATATATTTATACATATATGTATGTGTACATAAATATATATGTATTGTATGTATATTATGTGTATATAAATATACATATTTATACACACACACATGCACACATGCACTTACCCATAGGAGGTCTGGAAAGATACATACTGACAGGTTAACACTGGTTACATTGGTGAAGTTTCTATTGAGTTTCATTTTTACTTTTTTAGGTATCTTCTCTTTTTCACCAACCAAAAGAAAAGAGGCTGAGAAGCAGGTGGGCCTGAATACTATCTTAGAAAGTATGCACTAGATTCTGCAGACACTGAAGAGCCACTGGAAAACTCTTAAGAGAAAGACTGGGGGTAACCAGAGGTAAGCCATCAAGAGCGTTGTAGGTGGGAAGCCCTTGGTGACTCACTTCATTTCTCTTTCCCTGGGACCATCTTCCTTGTGCCACCCGCAGACCCAGAAGTCAAGCCTGTAGGATTAAACCTCTCAGCCCTGAGATGGAAGACTGCCAGTAATAAGCAGGGGCACAGTCAATGTGAGCACATTTCTCTGCCCATGCAGAGCTCCCCAAAACTTGACAGCAAGCACAAAACAACCTGGCTCTGCCCCAAGCACAAAAACAAGAGGGGAGAAAGGACAGGTGGTGAAGCATTCACAAAAGCTAGGAAAAAAAAGGCAGATTGTTTTTTTCCTACAATGTAGGAGCTTTTATTACTAGAAAATAAAATCCTGTCTGAGCAAATGCCAGGAAAACGATTAAGGGCTCAATTTAGACTGGGAGGCTTGGCCGGGCACTGCTGAGCAGAGAACTAAACAATGTCAGCCCCACTCTCTGTGCACATCACGTTTGGGGTGAGAGGCCCAAGCCCTAGCCGGGCCTCTCGCCACCAGTTCTGCAGAATTACAGTTAAGCTTTGGCCACTTGGTTTCAGTTAAAAGGATTGTGTGGAAGGAAGGATAAAAGGCTCTTGCGTGCAGACCAGCTACCGCATCTGAGAACTGAGAAGAAATGCAGCCAGGTTGGTGCCAAGCCCTGCAGGAACGCTTCTTCCCTGGAGTTCTCAGGATCCCCACCCTGACCCAGGAAGAGCATGAGATGGTGGAGAAGCATGGGCCGGTTTGGGAGTCAGACAAGACTATGTTGGAGCCCCCATTCTACTGCCCATGGGGCCTGTAGACAAAATTTTAATTTCTCTGAGCCCTAGTGCCTTATCTACAAAGTGAAGATCATAATTTATAGAATTATTATGAGGATAAAATAACATGATATATACAAAAGCAACAATAAAGTAGATACTTAGTAGTCTTCCTTTCCCTTTTTTTCTCCAGGGCATCCTAAGCCAAAGAATTGTGGTACAGTGGGGAAAGTATGAGATTTGAGGTTGAGAACCTAGTGTTCTAGTCCTTGTTCTACAACTAATGAGCTGTGGTGACCTTGGGGAAGTCACTCAGTCTCTCTGGACCTCACTTTCTCCTGCTGAACACTGTGGGCCTTAGACTGAATAATCTGTAAGGGCTCCTTCTATCTTTGACTTTCAATATTAATTATAATAACTACTACTATTAAGCAATTGCTATGTGCTAGGCAGGTTGCTCGGCAATGCATATGCATTATCTTATCAAGAATTATTATCCCTATTTTACAAGTAAAGACAATGTGGTATATAGAAGCTTAAGAACTTGTCCCAAATTGCACAGCTAGTAAGGGCAGGCCAGGCAGTGTTTGCTGTGGCTTACTTCTTTTTAACTAATTAATGTATCCCCAGGGTTCCAAATCTTTTTACTGAACAGGTAATAAAATCCAGCCACTCTGCAGGCTGTAGGTCAGGTTTAAGCAGCTGCCAATTCTTAGAACTATAGCTGGGGTTTCAGGTCTAAGGAATATTGATCTACTTGTAGCAGTGTGAAACAGTCTCCACAGAGAAAGAATCTTATATCAGGAGGTGGGAAAGAGGCACTGCAAATGAATGTCCTAGGGCTTTTGATTAGGCCAGAGAGACGACATTATGGTGAGAACCCAAGTAACCAGGCAGACAGGCAGCTGTCAGCCAAGTGAGCAAGCAGTCGGCAGCCAGGGTCATCACAGCAAGGCTAGTAGAGGCCTCTCAGTGGCCAAATGCAAG